CTTCCGGTCGTGCGTATGTGGGGTAAAGCAGCGGAGCTTTTATTATGCCACAGTCGACCGCTTCCGCTCCTTCCGGTCGTGCGTATGTGGGGTAAAGCAGCGGAGCTTTTATTATGCCACAGTCGACCGCTTCCGCTCCTTCCGGTCGTGCGTATGTGGGGTAAAGCAGCGGAGCTTTTATTATGCCACAGTCGACCGCTTCCGCTGAGTATGTGGGGTAAAGCAGCACTGTTTTATCATAGTAGATACGTTTGAAAGTTCTGTTATAATGCTACTCTGTGCGGTCATCACCGGTCTATTAAAACACAACATATTAAAGCATCTTTGGTTTTTCCATGTTTTTTCTACAAAACAAAAACAGAAATCGAGGGGTTATGACGTCATTAGCAGGCGACACAATGACACTATGTCACTAAATGACACACTGACACTAAAATTGCTTATTTCTCTGGATTTAAACATTCTTCGAAACATTTGGGATAATGTAAGTCAGCAAAATATATAACACTGTTCTAGTGGTTTTTGGATATTTTAATAAAAAAATCTTACATATTGTGCCTTTAAACTTTCTGGCCAGTAAATTTGAAAAGTGACAGTAAAGGCATTAATAATGTTACAAAAGATTTCCATTTCTAATAAATGCTATTCTTTTGAACTTTCTATTCATCAAAGAATCCTTAAAAAAAAAAAGTAGTATCACAGTTTCCACAAAAATATGCAGCAGCACTGTTTTCAGCATGAAAATCAGAAATGTTTAATTAGCAGCAAATCAGCATATTAGAATGATTTCTGAAGGATCATGTGACACTGAAGACACATCAGTAATGATGCTGAAAATTCAGCTTTGATCACAACAATAAATTACATTTGAACATATATTAACACAGAAAACAGTTGTATTAAATTATAAAAATATTTAAAATTTTTACTGTATTTTGATTAAATAAATGCATCTTTGGTGAGCGAATCTTACCGACCTCGAACATTTGAACAGCAGTGCATGTGAACATTTTTTGAGTACCAAACAGTTTTTAAGTTGTAGCTTCAGGTCGTGCCTAAGAGCACTTTAACACACAGCCTCTTGTAACTTCTTGATATATAAGATATTATATCTTCATATGCACATTCTTGCAGTCTTTGTCATGGTGATTAGCATTACTCCTCTCTCTCTCTCTGTGTGTCTGCAGTCGTTTGCTGAAGACTGACATGGAGCTGGAAGTTCTGCGCTACACCAACCGCATTTCCAGCGAAGCCCACAAAGAGGTAAAGTAAGCTTTTAGGCAGATTTTCTTCCGTCAGTTTTCTCATTTAAAAACTGTTACCCTAAAATATGCCCTAAAGAATTGAATTGAAAGTAGTAAGATCTGATAATTACTCTGAAAGACCAGGACTGCATTTCTCGAAAGCATCACAAGCTTTCTGCGATCTCCTTAGGCTTACGATGCTTTTGCAGAGAGTTTCGCTGCTCTCCTGAGACACAGACAGTTGAGTTTGGGTCATGAGCTGTGCGTTTGGCACAGTTTTTGTGTGAATGACAATTTAGAGGAAGTTTCAGGGGGAAAAAACTCATCGAATCTCTCTTAAAAACACTATTAGGCTGGAATTTTAGCCTCTGTTTGAAAGCATTTGAAGTCAGATCTGTACTGTATACTCTTGATGTAAAGCTACCAAAATCTTATACCTCGCCTAATCAGTATCTAGGCCAGCATTGCATTTATCTTTCACAGATACAATACAATACCAGAATACTAAACAGTTGATCTTTCAGCACAAAACCTGCATCTTGACTAGGTGCTACACTGAAAACAAAAATGGTGTAGAAACACTTTTCACTGCTAAATTGCTTGTAAATTTCACAGTTAATTACAAAGAAATGGCAATTTAAATTTTTTTTGAGCCATTTTACCTAATAAGGCCTTAGTGAATGTGAATGGGATTCTGAAACAATACAAACTAAAAACATCGTTTGCTCTTCATAATTGCTCTTTAATACAATCTAAAGTGCAGATCTGGGTCATCAGTCTTGTACAGTAACACTGTTATATTGTACGTCTAACATATGGATGCAGACTCTTGATATGTGTGCTATTAGACAGTATTTATTAAAGGAACATGATGTTTGAAATGTTTAATGCACAGCAGTCAATCAGCCAACGTGAGGAAAACTCAATTTAATAAGTTGCTGATATCCATTAAAGGATGAAAAGCCTTTTTAAGAGTGTTGGATATTAATGGGCCAGTCTGTGGTTTGTACATGAATTAATACTGTGTGTTTAACCTCGGATCATATTTATCATAGTGACTGCTATAGCTGTAACAATGATCGTTACATCAAAAGGGTTGTTCATGTGACAGTTATTGAGAGATTTCCACACAGCCCTATTTATAGATATATAGGCGCCCACTTTTTCAGTGGCGTTGGTATTTTTTCATTCATTTTTTCCCATAGGGCTTTTAAAAAAGTCTTCATTTAAGCATTGTAAGCCAGGAACTAAAACCAACCTGCTACGAGGAGAATCACAACATCATAAACTTTGATTTGAAGCAAAAACACTTTAAGGAATAGAACTACTATCCCATTAAGCATTATGAATGACTTTTTC